CCAGGGCAGCCGGATGACTGTATTGGAAAAGTATAGGATTGATGGAGTGAAAAAGAAAGCCACCTCGGTAGCAGATGGCCGTAACTGAGGCGGTGGGACAAGTCGAGGTGTCTGGTCCTTAATGAACATTGTGGGCATACACGGCTCGGACGGCAGTTGTAGGAGGAGAGGAAAGAAATGTGAAGTAGCCTGCACAACCGGGGCACAGCGTCTAGCGGCCTAACTACAAGAGATGGACTCGAGGCGGTCCTGCCACCAGAGCCAGAGAGAAAACGAGCAGACAGAAGCTGTCCCAGAGGGTCGGTCCCAAGTGCCGTTCAGCCTGGCCTTTTGCCGGCCACCACTAGACCTGCTGATAGAATGTGTGTGATGGACAAAGGGAGGCGTATAAACTACGTATGACATTCAAGGGCAATTAATCTGGTCAATACTTAGAAGACAAGACATAACAGACACCAGCGTAGAGCTCAAAAGTAAACTGTGACTTGGGCTGGCACGTTTACAGCCCGTGCAAGCAAGTAGGCTAGTAGAGGTATGCCTAAAATAGTAGGGCAATAATTTAATTTGTCTTCTGCTTAGCTAGTCCAAGCTGTCCTGATGGCAACTAGGAATGTTTACACTGCGTTCCGTTGGAAATAAGAGCCAGACCACTGGAATCTAACGCTCGGATTTGCAACAAATGGACATAATTAATCGAGGGCCTGATAAAAAGTCAGAAAAGATGATCAAATAATATTTTTGGGTAAGAATTTGAATCAGGTGACGCACGACCAAATAAAAGTAAGTGTTTGTGCCTATTTGATAGATACACTGCATAGTTTATATACGCTTTTCACAAAGAAATGATTGAAAGAAGACTAATAAAGCAAGCAAGCTAAATTCCTGTATTATAGTGAACTGAGAGTAAATGATGACAAAAACAACAACAAATCATGCATAGCATATTGTAATAGATACCAGAACGTCTATTAAAATAGCGCTATTATGCTCAGTTCGATAGGAATACTACAAAAAACACGCAGTCTAGATTCATGTAAATGGCATGCTTGAAGCTTACACTAATTAACGAGCCGATCTTTTTGAACCAGGAACAGTCAGTATAGCTAGTGGATACGAAAAGAAAGTTGGTTAGGGGGACCTTCATT